AGGGTGCTGTCAGCCAGACAGTGTCGGCTAGCGACCCCCAGTGGGGCAGCCTTCTCTGTGGGAGTGGCCTCCCTCTGGAATGAGCTGCCCCCGAAGCTTCATATAATCCCCAACCGCCGGTCTTTCCGACACGCCCTAAAAAGTTGGCTTTTCCATCAAGCCAGCCTGGCCTGAACAAAACAAAATAAATTATTGATCATTGTTAATTTTAATTCGAATTTTTTAAAAAAATGTTATTGTCAATTCTAATTGGGTTTGTTTGTTTATTTAATTTTTTTTAAACTTTTGTATTATGTGTTTCTTTTAATGTTGTACGCCGCCCTGAGTCCTTGGGAGAAGGGCAGCATATAAATCTAATAAACCAGACCTAATAAACCAAACTTGTACATTCACCTGCCTGCACAGAAGATGCTTCAGCTGACTTTTGAGGTATCGTGGTCATACAATATTTGAATATTTTGTATAGCTTGCTACATAACACTTTTGAATGAAATATCTCACAAGCTTTGAACAGGTGCAAATACATGAATAAGATAAAATGCACTCAAGCAACTTTAAAATAAGCTTCTCTGGCATATTCTTTTTTACCTTCTTTGCAGTCATGTTTGTTTTCGTGAAGCACAAATCCATTCCGACATTGGCATACATAGCTTCCAAAAGTGTTAATGCATTCGTGCTGGCAGCCACCATTGTCCTTTGAACATTCATCTTTATCTATAAAATATACAACACATTTACTCTATGAACAAAATATACCTCTATATTTCAGAAAAAAAGAAACTTATTGGTTTAGTTAAGTTTAAGTGCCTGTGGAAAACTTTCCCCTTAAAGTATAGAAAAAGGAGCCATACATAATAATGATGTAGCAAGGAATTATATACTCCTTAGGATTTCCTTGATTTGACTCCAATTGACTCACAATTGGGCAACTGCATAGAAATAAAGGTCAAAATTTTAATAATTGATAAATTAATGTATAATGAGAATATATATTTTGTTAATTGGCAAATTCTCATCACTAAAATGCTTGAAGCATTATGTATTTATATATGTGTGACTGTATATGTACGTTTGTGTATTAATAACATACATGGTTATTCAATTATGTTGTTTTATTTAAAGAGTTTGGACGACAATCAGAGGTGATATTCAGCAGGTTCTGGAGAACCGGTAGCAGAAATTTTGAGAAGTTCGAAGAACCAGTAAATATCACCTCTGACTGGCCCCGCCCCCATCTATTCTCTGCCTCCTGAGTCCCAGCTGATCAGGAGGGAATGGGTATTTTGCTGTATCCTTCCCCTGGAGTGGAGAGGGAATGGGGACTTCACAGTATCCTTCCCCTGCCATGGCCACCAAGCCACACCCACAGAACCGGTAGTAAAATATTTTGAATCCCACCACTGATGACAATGTAATATTTTTCCCAATTAACACTGGGACAAAAATAAAACTGGAGAAGAATACAATAGTTTGGGACTGGTAATGAATGATGAAGTAAAAAAAAAATCTATGATTTTTATAAACAAGGATTCATATTCCAGGTTGAAAAATTTACAAGTAAATAAATTCTAATTCACCAGATTAAATTTAAAAGAAGTAAACTTTTTACAGACTACATGCAAATCATGTTTAGGGATGGAAATCAGCCTTCCAATTTTAAATTGACCCTTTATCTATTTTTTCTCTCAATAGTTCTTATAACTAGGAAAGATCCGTTTTCAACAATACATTAGATCTGATTCATTTAAAAAATACATGGTCATCTTTCAGACCCTCAAAAACTAGACTGTGAATTATGTCACATGGCCTGTATCAAAATCTTCACCTGCTTCCAAAACAAAAATGCTCTCCTTGGAGGCACCTGTTTTGCCTGTGTGTGTGTGGGGGGGGGGGGGGGGCGAATGTACCAGGATAGGTGAATTTATGTCAAAGCCTACGTAAACAGCCAACACGTGGTACAACAGGAACAAGGAGGGCAATCTCAAGTGTCGGAACTCGACCCTTCCCTTAAAATTGCAGAGCCTACCCTGACAAATCAAGAAACACAAGGTGACCAGGGTAGTCCATCAGCAACAGTGAAGGATCTTCCGCAGGCAAACACACAAGCAGCTGTAGTTCACAACCTCAATGTGGAGGTGAAGGAACTCTTGGCAGACCTTCAAAGCAATTCAAGCACAGAAAGATGCCTGAAATAGTAGATGTGCCAAGTTACAGCACATCAGCCAGTTGAACACTCGACAGCTTCATCAACATCCAAAGTAAACAAACACACTTTATGACATCGATGCGCACCGGGTCCCAGTGCATGGCGGGGAGGAAAGTGGATAGACTCTGCATAGAAGCGTTAGATGGGAGTGCACAGTTCCCACTGTCGCCATTACTAGAATGGGATGATCTACCAGATGATCGCAGTGAGATTGTGACCCCAGAGGTAGCAAGTCCCATATCTCACCTGAAGCACATGACTAACCACTTTCAGGATCTAGACCACAAAGCTCTTGCGGGGAGCAGACACCTCTGACGCTTTCACCCCGCAAGAAGTGGTCAAGGAAACAAGGGGCTCCCCATTCACCCTCAAAACAGAACTTGGAAGGGGCATCTTTGGGACGGTATGTGTCGATCAATCACAGGTCCCAACCCAGGCAAATGTCTTTGCAAACTCTGCTCTCAGTAACGGGAGAACATCCCACTTTAAACCATGCCAAGAACACTTCACAACCTCGACACTCAAACCAGTTTTAGGAGCAATAGTGTTCCAGACCAGCAAAGAAGACAACAATTTCACCTTGTCGATAGAGAATGAAGAATTTCTGAGGCTCACAATCAAGGAACTTCAACAGGAGGCCACCAAGAATTGGGTGGCTCCATTACCCTTTCACATACCAAGACAACGATTTCCAAATAACCATGAGCAACCTCTCTCTCACCTCTTCAATCTGAGACAAATCATGAACAAGAAGCTTGAAATGAAAGCTCATTTTGTGGAGTTCCTAGACCAGATGGTCCAGAATAGACATGCAGAACTTACTCCACCTCCGAGAATTGATGAGGAATGCTGGCACCTGCCATCCTTTAGAAAGTGCCAGCCACAAAAGCCAGACCAGATTCGAGCAGTTTTCGATACTAGCATGCAATCCCAAGGCCCCTCTCTGAACAAAGTGCTTCTCAAAGGTCCTGACCTCACCAACAGTCTGCTCAGCATGCTCCACCACTTCAGAAAGGAAGTCAAAGCCATCCTGGACAACATCCAGCAGATGTTCTACTTATTCCTTGTCAGAGAAGACCATCAAAGCTACCTATGTCTCATGTGGTCCAGCGACGAACAGCACAACTACGTATGAGCCGAGGTGGCGCAGTGGTTAGGGTGCAGTACTGC